TACCAGGTTGCATTTAGCATACCTTTTTCACCTGGAGAGCTATTGGCTCAGTGTTGGGTTTCAGCGGGTACTCTACTGGTTAGTGAATCTTTGCTTTCATAATGCAGTGCAAATCTGCTTTTACTCAGCCTCACACCTAAGTGGAAGCCTATCTGCCCATGCTGACAGAAGGCACGCATGCTGTCAGGCAGCTATGTCAGCCCACAAACACGATGGTAACACAGGCTTCTGCTGGTCCCTAGAACGCAGGTCTGGATTCTTCGATAAGGAAATTGATAAAATCATCATTACCAGCAAGAAAAACAAAAACCCAAAGCAAAGCAAGGCTAAAATGGATCTGATTCAACAGAAGGACAAAATAGAAGTACACAACACATTCTGAAAAACTGTGATGTGCTCTTTACATTAGTCCTTTGCTCCAGCCAAGACATACCTGACATTTTTGCCATCCCTTGCAAAGCACACAGCATCCACATTAAGCAAGACTAACCGATTCCTAACTTAGTAATCACTACAATTCATTTGCAATTAGGAAAGGCTTTTCTTAGGAAAAGCTTCCCTCTTTCTCAACATACACTATTAAAAAAAAAGTCAATTTGTAGTCCACAACAACCATCACCTGCACAAAGAAAAGATACCACAGCACGTCTCTATTTGAAAAGACATCGTCAGTGCTGAACAGCTCAGAGATCTTCCCCATCCCAAAAACCCAGGCTTCAAAGCCCAAAGCTTGACCAAGACTTCAGCTTCAAATCATTCTGTGGATTACCTTTCCTTACACAGGTAAAGGAGATTAACAGCATTTGACAGACAGAGCCCACAGCTATGTTTTTCAGAGACATGTGAATGCTCTGAATGCTGTGATGCTCACTTCAATCGAGCATACCTTGCTATGGTTTCTGCAACCTAGTGTTCACTGGACAGCAACAACTGCCCTGTTCTCTAGCCATCATTTGGGACTCCTTCACAACGTGAAGTTTTGTGTGAATGAATTATCCCCAACAGAATACAAAAGTTTGCCTCCTCTCTAAGAAACCAAAATCTTCCATGCCAGGAAGATGCACGCCATGATAATAACATACCTTGCAACAAAGTGGGTTGCAGCTTGGGCCACCACCCATCCCCCAGAACACAGCCTACTGTTGTAAAGCAATTCTGATAAGGTACCAGTGATGCTGTCATAACTACCAAAAGCATCACACCTATGTTTATTCATCTATGTGTCAAGGAGAAAGCATTCTCCCGAGTTGGATTGCCACAACTTGCCCCAAGGTCACAGGTGGAGATTCTGCCCACTGTTCTGTGGTTTGGCTAGATCCTACAGGGCCTCCTCCTTGCTAACTCTAGCAAGTTTAAAGAAAGCATTTAGCAGCATGCTACACATTACATGAAGCAAGCCATGGAGCACGAATAAAAAGGTCAGTTTAAGATCTGGAAGAACTTGTGATGGCGGGTCACAGAAACACACAAGACTGCAACTCTGCCCACCCGCATTCTTGCAACATGGAAGATTTGGTGTCTGACATTTGCTCTAGGAAATTCACTCTCCACATTTGATGTGCATGCATACACACAGCGACAGATGAACAGCCTGTTAGAAGCTGTGGTGGGTTAGTCTTGGCCAGCAGCCAGACACCCCCCCATTCGCTCATTCACTCCCCTTTCTCAACAAGACAGGGAGAGAACAGGATGAAAAAGCTCACAGGTCAAGATAAAGACGGGGAGATTGCTTACTAGTTACCATCATAGGCAAAACAGACTCAACTCGGTGAAATTTAATTTAATTTATTGCCAATTAAAAATAGAGAGTTGGGAAGTGAAAAACAAAGACAAAAAAGTTCCTCTCTGCTGCTCCCTCCTCCTCTTCCTCACATTTTTCTCCTGCTCCAGCATGCGTCTCCTCCATGGGCTGCAGCTCTTGAGGATAAACCTGCTCCAGTGTGGTTTCTCTATGGGCTGCTGGGGAACCTCCGCTCTGGTGCCTGGAGCACCAACTCCTCCTCCTTCACTGACCTTGGTGTTTGCACTGTTGTTTCGCGCTCTTTTTTCCCCCCTCCCCCTCTGTCTGTCCAGCATTTTTTGTACCCTTTCTATATACCCTTTCTAATACATATTTCTAATACCCTTTTTTAATACATCCTCTATACCCTTCTAATGCATTTTCACACAGGGACCACCAGTTTGGCTGCTGGGCTCAGCTATGTCCTGCGGTGGGTCCATTATGGAGCCGGCAGGAACCAGCTGTGTTCTCTTCTCTGGCCTTTTCTCACAGAGGCCACCCCAGCAGCACCCCCGCTGCCAACACCTTGACACCTACACCCAGCTGAAAAGCCTACTGTGAAACCACTGCAAGACTAAAGGGGAAAATGGGGGAGACATTTCCTCCACATCACCCCCTACTGAGACCAGAGACGTCAGCTACAAAGTGATGGATACACGCAAACTATCAACAACATTAAGTATCTGGAAAGCATGCAGGTGCCTTCCCTAGCAATTTTCAGGGAAGAATCACTCAGACCTGAACTCCTCCAGGCCCAGGAAGATCTCAAGGTCTCTGTGCAGGGCGTAAGTTATGACAAGAAAATTCATGCCTTTTGGTACTTGATATCCTCCCGAGGAGAAAAGGGAAAGTGAGGAGAAGGGTCAAAACAACAGCAAATAGGTGACTTTCTACAAACTGCTTCATAGTAAAAAAAGAAAAATCCTGCCCTTTACTTGGGAAACCTTCTCCGTACTCTCTCCTGCAGACCTTCCAGCACCCATCCAACCACCTCTAGCTATTTAAAGCTCCAGAATGGTCACAAGATACATTCCTACCTCCACTTCTTCAACCTTGATAAAGGAGGAATGGAAAACATACCAAACACCTCGTCCAGTTCTCTGAGAACCTTCTTCTGGGCTTCAGGATTATGTCCAAGTAAGTACAGGGCCCAGTTCATAGCAGCTGCTGTTGTATCGTGGCCCTAGAGGTCCAGATTTACAAAGACATCCCCGTGCACAAGTAGGCTTTGTAAATACTTGGGTGTGCAGGTAGTATGGAAAGTGAGACTTAGTCCCACAACCATGAGAAAAACACAAAAATCAGGAGTGAAGAACTCTATCCAACACATTGATTATCAGAATGTAAGCCAACCCGTGATTCTGTCAGGTGCCCGAAAACTGACCAAAAGGGAAAAGTGTTAAAATACTTCTGGTAGCCAGCAAACATATCCCTCTTCCCTCTCCTCTGCCACCTGAGAGCGTTCCATTGCTGCTCTAGTAATTAGCAGATCTTTCCTTTCCTTTTAAGCTGCAGAAGCAGATGCTTGTTGCTCTGCTCTTTTCTCCATTCAGAAATCCAGTGACCAAGCTCCATCACTTCGCAGAGGTCAGCAATCTTCTCTCTTTCACAAAGTGCCAGACGATGTCACTGTGTGTTCCACTTCTGCCGTTACAGAACCAAACCGGCGTATATTCTTCTTTTCATTTAGTCCACAACGTAAGATCTGGGTTGCCATGAAGTGCCACAAGAGGGTAAGGGACACATTTTGCCATTGTTTCTCTGCATTCTTGTCAATGTCTATATAGTGCAGGAGGGAACACTCACGAAAGAAAAAGTATATTTTGGACACACCGCTGAAGAAGACTTAAACATGAATTTTGAATGTGATGTTATCTTTGACCTGAGATTTCTGAAGAAACTGCATCAAATCGACCTGCAACTGTATGAAATTGACCTGCAACTCCAAAGCAAAAGCATTCTGCTTTGTCAGATAACTATACCATAATATAACCAGTGAGTAAACTTAGTGTAGCCAAAGGAGAAAAATACTAAGCCAGGAAAGTAATTTAAAAACGCTTTCATTTACTCAAAAGAATGCAGTGCTTGATGACCATTTACAAAAACCAGAAATCTGATTAGCAGTACAGATATAAAATATACATTACAAATGCTTTGCCTTGGATTACCAATCCTTGAACATTCATAAAAAGAAGTGAGGAGAACTGGTATTAGTTCCCAAGTAGAAGAAACTGATTCTATTCTTAACTGCACAATTTGGGCAAATAATTTTTTCTCTTCCTTCCTTCCCACTTCAACAGCTCTTCAACCACATCTACTTAAACTGCTGGCTCTCTGATGGAAGGAGGAATCCCTGACTGCAAATGCACACACTACTAACAGCCAGGGACCTGATCAGGGCTGTGATCTCTAGGCAGAACACAATCCCAATCTTCTCTTCGATCTTCCCATTTGGATCTACACAAAGAGGTATGAAATAATGCTTTCATCAGTTAAGTACGTCTTTTCATGTTAAAACTTTGAAGGCTCAAATATTTCAAAATATGATTAATTTGTACAATAACAGGCAATATTTTATAAGAAATCTCAAGAAGTGGGAACACTTTTACCAACTTATCAGCATGCAGGTTCAATTGCTCAGCATCTGTAAACATGTTTGGCTCAGCAGGGAAAACATTGCTTCCTGTAAACAAAGTTTATCCCAGCAGTTCCCATAGTTACTGACCATTAGAACAGCATAAAGAGAAGCAATGAATGAATTCATCTCAAAAGAATTAAAGGAAGAAGAAAAAATAGGGACAGGTAATATTTACAAGAGAGCAACTGCAATAACGAGACAGACTGAAAAATGGAGAAGTGTTAAAACAGCAGTTAAAGAGGAGATAACACAAACTCCTGTTTAAAAGTATAAGTTTGATATATGACTGATGTTTGGATAGAGTAGAACATTTTTAACACTGAGGAAACACGAAAAAGTGGGAACGGGACTTCATGGCCTAAACATAACTTATTTGCTTCTATAGGTAAAATAACAATTCCCTAAGGAAGACAGAAAAAGGAGGAATGCCTGAGAAGAAAGTGCAGCAGCAGCAGCATCTTGACTCTGCAAACAGAACAGACACCTCAACCATTTACTTCATTTTGCTCTAATTTTTAATCTAATCTCTGGTCAGACAACTTTAAAAGAAGGCAATGCAGGCATCCTGAGGATTGCAAGGCTCAGCAGAAACCAGCATACTGCACATGTTCTTTGTTACACAAAATAGTAGCTGGCAAATTTAGTGCTTCAGTCGTCCATTCAGTGCAGGGGGTTTCTGTTTCTTCCTCAGCTGGGTTAAGAAGCAATCTGAAATCTCTTCCTTGAGGTTGGAGGATTTCTCTGAAAGGATCTATAGTAATGCTGTGAGCCTAGAAAAGATAAAACATTGTTTTTTAATTGTGGCAGAATCTGAAAGACACTCCAAGATTATGTATGAGCTACTTCCATCAGCCTGCTCAGACCAACGTTTGCTAACCTGCCCTTATTCTTTCATAACCTTTTATATAAATATGCCAACCATATAATTATTTGAACTCAAGAAAATTCCAAACAAAGATTACATACAAGCACTCAGATACCTCAGGAACTAGCTAGTCAGCTTTACTGTAACAATGGAACTAAATAAGCCACATAGGGCTGCTCTCTTTTTTGGTGTTATAAATGGAAGACATAATTGCAAATCAATGTTGATTTTTTATTTATTTAAGAGAGCTTTATACTTATGTTAAAAATGCATTTTCAATTTTATTTTTCCCCACATAAAAAGTTTATTAATTTGGTGAATTTATATGGGGGCTAAAATAAAATTTATGTCATGAAACAGTTCACAAACATATATTTATTTTGCTACTCTAGCAGCTGCAAAACATCTAGCCTGTACACCACATACTCTTGCCATAATTGTAAATATGCTAAAATCTTTAAAAAAAAAAAAATTAAGATGACAGGGAATCCTTTTCCTTCCATGTCACAACAGCGAAAAGAAGCTTTGCAGGGTTCCTAACAGAATTAGGGCTATCTCAGACCAAGCGAGAAGAAACTTCAAAACCAAATTCAGAAGATCCGCCAAGCACACCTGTTGTTCTTTCATGCCAAGATGGCTCTCCCCGAGAATGAACTGTCTCCTCTTTAATTTGTTCAAAGGCTTGTCGTTTCTCAGGGCCCCATTTGAAATTGTTCTTCTTTCGGGTCACTTGGTAGAGAGGGCTTACCATCAGACTGTAATTTGGAATATGCATTCTCCAAAAACCCACAATGCCTAAGAAAGCTTGTGTTTCCTTTTTGCTAGTTGGTGGAGACATGGCTGTTATTGCGTTGATCACATCCATTGGGCTCTGATGATGTCCATCTTGCCATTTTATTCCTAAAAACTGGATCTCCTGCGCAGGTCCCTTGACCTTACTTTGTTTTATGGCAAATCCGGCCTTCAGAAGGATTTGGACTATTTTCTTCCCTTTCTCAAAAACTTCTCCTGCTGTGTTGCCCGATACGATGATGTCATCAATGTATTGCAGGTGTTCCGGAGCCTCACCCTGTTCCAGTGCAGTCTGGATCAGTCCATGGCAAATGGTGGGGCTGTGTTTCCACCCCTGGGGCAGTCAGTTCCAGATGTACTGGACACCCCTCCAAGTGAAAGCAAACTGTGGCCTGCACTCTGCTGCCAAAGGGATTGATAAGAACGCATTACCGATATCAATTGTGGCATACCGCTTGGCTGCCTTTGACTCCAGTTCATATTGAGTCCTTTCCTTCGCACCTGACAGGAGTCGCCTCCAGAGGCTGAGGGCTTGTGCCCCTTTTCCAATTGCTTTGTCAATG